ACTTAGACTCTTTTACATGATATAAGAGCAGTGGAGCCAAAAACATGTAAAGAGTCATAATCAGAAACAGGTTTCCAGACCATACCTCAATCGGCGTCTTGCCTTCAATTGCAGTTGATGGTAGACGATTAATGAGTATGACACGCATTATAACTGCCTCAGCCCAAAACTCTTGCCCAACCAGAATTGGACACATACACCGAACTTTCTCAGTATAGTTCGATTCATGCGTTTCTGCCACCCCATTCTGCTATGGTGTATTTCTCACTGTAAAGTGATGTACTATCCTTCATCTTGGCAAACTTTCAAAAACGGATCACTACGATACTCCCACCCATTATCTGTACGTAGCTACTTGATCTTTCTGCCAGTCCTCTCAACATCTTTTTTCCATTTAAGGAAAACACCAAGTACGTTATCTTTAGTTTTTATCACTACACCCAAACTCTTCGGGAAAAATCATCTACAAAAGTAACAAAATAGTGCATACCTCCTAAAGATGTTGTTTTGTAGGTCCCCACACATCAGAATGAACATAATCCAAAATACTCTTAGTATTATAGATTGCGGTGCCGAATTTCACTCTGTTCTGTTTTCCCAGAACACAATGCTCACAGAAGTCCAGCTTACAGGTCTTTGCACCTTTCATAAGCCTTGATTCACCAAACTAAGTAAGGCTTTTTCACCTCATGCCCAACGCATATGCCACAACTTGAGCATTTCTGAATCTGCATCCTTCTGCACGACTGCAGCTGTCGTTTCAATAACTGTACTACCATTATAGTAATACAGTTGTTTCTCCTCGTGCCTTTCATTACACAAGAGCGCCTGAAGAAACTTTAGAATTCCATCTCGCATATCACTGTGAAGCCTTTAGATTCCAAGGCTCCCAAGAGATGAGATTCTTTTTCAACTTCGGTACATACCGAACATCTGTCAGAGTTCTAGTTGACCATCATGATTCTTCAACCGAATTGAACCTATCCCAGTTGCTTTACAAGCTCATCATTGCCCATATAAACAACTCCACCATCAAGTTCTTCAAAATTAAAAACCACTCCTGTGGGGACACATATGATAGGTACAACCTGAATCCATAATCCACTCATTGATCCAGAGGTGGATGGTAAGCTAACTAGACAGAAATCAGACTCATCCTCTTCACGCTCACAACGTATGCATTAGAAGTAGCTTTGCCCTCTTTCTTTTGCAACTTCGGACAATCTTTCTTCCAATGCCCTTTCTCACGACAAAAGCACATTGATCCCTATTGAGCTTTCCCTTTTAACGAGAGCTTTCCCTTCTCTCCTTCTTACTCTCTGATTTTGACTCCGCCTCTTCAACAAGAGCTTCTCTGACTCATCTCTATTCTCCTTTTGATCCTTCTTCCGAATTTCATGATTGGATAGAGCAGACAAAAAACTTCTTCAAAAGACAATTTTTCTTTCCCATGAAGAAGGTGTAATACTAAGATAGTCCAACTCATCTGGAAGAGATCCAATTAACAACATAGCCTTATGCTCATCTTGAATGTTCATCCAAATTAACAATCAGCAATTAATCTTTTAAAGTATCAATATGGCTACTGATATTCGTACCTGGTCTCAACTGAAGACGAAACAGTCTTTTCATCAAATAGAGCCGATTTTCATTACTTCTCTTCAGTATTGTTTTCCAGCGCCTTCCATAACTTATTGGTAGACGTCTCTTTCATGAATGGATATTTCTGCTCTCTACAAAGACATGAGCGAATCATCCCACACGCTTTTACATTCAACCTCACCCAGTCTTTCTCAAAGACATCTTCTGGTTTTTCCTCCTCCAGAACGATATCTAGATCCTGCTGATACAAGCTATCCATTACCTCACTCTGCCACAAGCCAAAATTATTTTGGCCATCAATTTTTCAACATCAATTTTGCATTGAAACCGTTATCACTTTACTGGTATGGATGTGGTCCACGATGGTGTATAGCCTCGGACGATGAATCCTCAGACGATGATGCCATTTATTCCTTACTCAATTGGCTTGGTAAACAAAATTCCCAATAACCAAGCTCCACAAATTATTATATTCAAAGCTACCAACAAATCAACAATAGCCCGTAGGTAGTAGTAAGTGCTGAAATGATTAAATATCACCAGGAAATTCCCAGGAAACAATGGAGGGTCACAAATGGTCCCACTTAAAATCCAGTCTCCTTAGACTTTTTATGTCTTTTTGACAGAATTTTCCTAGACATGCTATAACCATACAAATAGCTACTCACTGTCCTAAACCTAGGCTCTGATACAATTGTTATGCAACGGAAAATAAACTCTAACGCTAGCTTATTGAATATAATAATACAAGTAATAAAGCATAAATAATTGTTCAAAATTAAATGCAAAAAATAACGAATACCAGGAATTAACGAGTTGGTGTTTAAAACCTACTCCTCGGTGCTGCAAAAGAAAACTCCCTATCTCCAAACAATATTACAATATTTGGGCAACTACAACAAATACCCAAAACAAAGGGGAGATACAATAAACCTTGCAAACTAAAGGGTCCTTAAAGAAGAACCCTAAACAAAAGAAGTAATGGAATTACAACTTGGGAGGATTAATACAATGATATGGGTGCTTATATATAGGCCCCAAAGTTTTCCACTTTTCAATCCTAATCTGTGGGACAAACAACCTTTTCTTAGCCTATTTACATATAGTCCCTAAACCTTTCTTCATTATCATTTCTACCCCATGTGCTAAAAGCCTTTTCAACATATACGACATGTGATTTGTAATTGAACATGTCTAAAAACATTTGCTTCACTATTATTTTATAATTATGCATTAAACTAAATAACTCTGATTTTAGGAATGATATTTATATTCTAGTGTGTGAAAAATATTAAAAGTATTTGTAAACCCTTTTTAAAACTGATTAATTTCAAATTGATTATAAAATAATCATTTAAAAAAAAAGGTTAAAAAAGTTTTCTCGATTTTGTGGATGAACATAACTAAAAATACCATGTAAAATAATTCAAATTAAAGATGATTTCATACTAAAAAAATAAATATATTATATAATTGTTTATAAAATTAACAAAAAAAAAAAAAAAAAAAATTCATGTTTAATCAGATATGAGTCAATTAAATGAAAGTAAAAGAAAATGAGGGTAAACCACCACCCCAGCACTACTAGGGATAGTCATTGAGTTTTTACTCGTCAATAGTTTTAGGGCCTTAAAAGATTAGTTAAATACGCGTAAACTGACTGAAACATCTTCGGTGATCAAAAAAAAAAAAAAATTGAGGGTAAAATAGTATTTCTGTTACAAAGTTGGGACATGTGTTTTACTTTCGGAAAGTATTGGATGAAAATGTTTTTTCCCAAACCTTGTGGGTTATGATGTGATTACATGGAGTAGTTGATAGTGGGGCATCAGCCATGGAAGGATCGAATAGTGTTTATCTCCAATAATACCGAATCTTTCGATGGAGTCCACTTTTTAACTTGAATAATTTCAATTAGGAAATTGATGACACACTTTCTTCCTTTAACTACCCATTAAGATGGCTTACTTTATGTTTATGATTGACCCACTAAGACTATATATACATCGAAGATAAATTTTATTGGCCCACTAATACTATTATATACATAAAAAAATTAGTTTAACCTAATTTTAATTAATATTTGAGTAAACAAATACAAATTAATGTTACTTATTTTAATTTTGTCACTACACAAGTCAAAGTTAAGAATCACATACAAAATCAATTTTGCATTCTATTCTAAAGCTTAAATTAAAATTTCGCTCAAACAAAATCGGATAAATATTAAGTATAGAGTAAGGTAAATGACTTTTCCCACCCAAGGTTTGCCTTCAACACTTTGCACACTAATAGTTAAAAATACCATTTTCCCCCAAAGTTTATATTCTGACCAATCGCGCACAGCTTTCGACTTCTTTGCGACCTCACACATATCATTTTTTTTCCAATTATCACTCACTAAAACCCTCAAACCTTGCTCCGTTGATATACCAATTGTAGCAATGAAGCGATTTGTGAAACACGCACTACCCTCTCAAGTCAGATCTCGACCAATCCCGACAATCAAAAATCCAATCTACCACCAAATTTAATCGGCATCTCTTAAAACCCCAATAACTTAGATCGAGTTTCCTCCGTGTGCTATGAATCAGAAAGTGTATTCTGGGTAGTAAATGGAATATAAACTGGGTGGAAAAAGAAATTTTGCAACTTTTGGGGTGAGAATGTATGCACTTTGAGATCGTTATTAATAACTGTGTAGGGTATGACATACGTGGAGGCTGGAATTAACACACAATCTGGGCCGGATGTCTATTTCACGAATCTGAAGAGGTCTAAACTTAAAAGAACTATTTTCTTTATTCGTTCTGGTTCCACTCAATTTCACCTAATGTTCTAGTCTAGTTTTGAAAGCCGTTCGTTGACTTCTCCACGTGATCAGGGACCCCCTCCACGTTCCTCCAACTATCAGCCTTTCTCCGCCATTTGTCCATTTTATCATGCGTCACATGAAGGCCGAAGCTATTACAAATCCTTTTTTAAAAAAAAAAAAAAAAAGGTGTATTTAGTCAAGGAGTAGTCTAATCAAACAGAAATTAATATGTAAAATCTGATTAATAGAAGCTTATTCCAGGATACTGCAGGCTTCAGCCACCGACGCCACAAAACTTTATTAAAAATTTATCAATTTCACCTATAATTCAGTTTTTTTCAATTTCAATCTCTACATAAATATAAGTTTTTAATCATCCTAGTGATGTCCCAGGTAAATATTGACTGTTTCACCTAATGTTCGCTTTGCGTTATGAAGGCGTCCGTTGAAGACCTCCAGTGTCGGGACCTTTCACCGTGCCCGAACTATTAACTCACAAGTCTTACTGGCGATTTTGTCCACGAATCGAATTCCATCAACTACTCCCTTCCCTCTCTTTTTCTATAAAATCAAACCACAGGACAAAACTCAACCTCAAACTCAATTCGAACATTTTATTCTTGTTTTTATCGTTTTAACATTGTCCGTTAAAAATGAATCCCTCACCCTCCGTCTCCGATGGCCAGGTCGAACACGTCACCTTCTCCTCCACTGTTAAACCTCCTGGCTCCTCTAAAACTCATTTCCTCGGTGGCTCAGGTTAGTGAAATACGCTCCATTTACGCGCCATCCGTGTTATGCTTTATCTTTTATTTTATTTTTAGTATTTGATATGATTATTGACCCTTAATTGGTGCTGCCTTGCGCAGGGGTGAGAGGTTTGGAAATTCAAGGCAAGTTCGTGAAGTTCACGGCGATCGGAGTGTACGTTGAGGATAGCGCCGTGTCGTCACTCGCCAGCAAGTGGAAGGGCAAGAGTGCTGATGAGTTATTTGAATCCGTTCCGTTCTTTAGAGATGTCGTTACAGGTAGCCGATTTTTTTGGCCCGCTTTTGATGCATTAATTTTGGTTGTTGAGTGAACGTGAGGCGGAGAGAATTTTCTTAAAGGATATCAATTGTAGATCACTCAAATTTATTGAGTTTATTAACTTTCTTAAATAGAGGAAAGGCTCTTAATATTATGGATTGTATTAAAATTAAAATACTGTTTATACATGACAAAAAATATATATTATACCATAATTATATATAAATTATGATAAATTAATTATATTTTTGGTATCATTTTGTAGGTCCCTTTGAGAAATTCATTAGAGTGACAATGATCTTGCCATTAACTGGTCAACAATACTCAGAGAAAGTTGCAGAAAATTGCGTCGCCATTTGGAAATCACTTGGACTTTACACTGACGCTGAATCCAAAGCCATTGAGCAATTTCTTGAGGCCTTCAAGGGCGAAAACTTTCCACCTGGCGCTTCAATTCTTTTCACACTATCACCCTTCGGATCATTGACAGTAAGTAAAAGTTTACATAAAAATAAAAATATAAATGGAAGTCTGAAAACAGAGAAGAGGCCTAACCCTTGCCTTCGTATTATTCTGCATGAAAATTGCAGTTGACTTTTGTATACAAATTACAAAGACGTATCTAAATGAAAAATATATAAAAAAAGTTTATTTAAGGGGTCAGAATTATATATGTATTTTATTGTTCTGCAGATTGGCTTTTCGAAGGACGAATCGATAGGGGAATCTGGGAAAGTAGTGATAGATAATAAACTACTTGCAGAGTCAGTTTTGGAGTCAATTATTGGGAAGAATGGCGTTTCTCCTGGGGCAAGGAAGAATTTGGCTGAAAGATTTTCAAAATTGTTGAATGGAGAAGAGAAATCAGAAGCCGATAATTGTGCTAAAGAATTCAAAGGAGTGGACACCAATATCATCCAAGTTGAAACCGGAAAAGTGTGAAGAGATCGGCGTAGATTGTCTGGTTCATAATAATGTTAATGTATGGTTTTCAACTCCTGTGATGGCTCTACCAGAGAATGAATTTTTATGTTTAGAGATTTGAGATCCCTCAACTTGAATTCTGATTACGTATACAAATTGTTCTTGTGATATGATAAAAAAACAAAAATGTTAGGCTTTGTTTGTATTTCCAATCGAATCAATAATTAAAATAAAATACACGTGGAGATAGGCCATTTCCTGATTAATGGGGTAAAGAAATACCTTCTTGGAAGTTACAATACATCCAGGGCAGTGTCAATGTAAAGGACTACTTATTCAACTTAAAAAATAAATATATATATTAATTGTTTATAAAATTAACAAAAAAAAAAAAAAAAAAAAATTCATGTTTAATCAGATATGAGTCAATTAAATAAAGTAAAAAAAATTGAGGGTAAACCCCCACCCCAGCACTACTAGGGATAGTCATTGATGTTTTTACTCAGTCAATAGTTTTAGGGCCTTAAAAGATTAGTTAAAATACGCGTAAACTGACTGAAACATCTTCGGTGATCAAAAAAAAAAAAAAATTGAGGGTAAAATAGTATTTCTGTTACAAAGTTGGGACATGTGTTTTACTTTCGGAAAGTATTGGATGAAAATGTTTTTTTCCCAAACCTTGTGGTTATGATGTGATTACATGGAGTATTGATAGTGGGGCATCAGCCATGGAAGGATCGATATAGTTTTATCTCCAATAATACCGAATCTTTCGATGGAGTCCACTTTTAAGTCTTTGAATAATTTCAATTAGGAAATTGATGACACACTTTCTTCCTTTAACTACCCATTAAGATGGCTTACTTTTTGTTTATGATTGACCCACTAAGACTATATATACATCGAAGATAAATTTTATTGCCCACTAATACTATATATACAAAAAAAATTAGTTAACCTAATTTTAATTAATATTTGAGTAAACAAATACAAATTAATGTTTACTTATTTTGAATTTTGTCACTACACAAGTCAAAGTTAAGAATCACATACAAAATCAAATTTGCATTCTATTCTAAAGCTTAAATTAAATTTCGCTCAAACAAAATCGGATAAATATTAAGTATAGAGTAAGAGTAAATGACTTTTCCCACCCAGGTTTGCCTTCACAACACTTTGCAACCTAATATGTTAAAAATACCATTTTCCCACCCAAAGTTTATATTCTGACCAATCGCTGGCCGATTTCGACTTCTTTGCGACCTCACACCATTACTATTCTTTTTTCCAATTATCACTCACTAAAACCTCTCAAACCTTGCTCCCGTTGATAGTACCAATTGCTAGCAATGAAGCGATTTGTGAAACACGCAGCTACCCCTCTCAAGTCAGATCTCGACCAATCCCGACAATCAAAATCTAACCTACTACCATCAAATATTAATCGGCATCCCCTCTTTAAAACCCCAATAACTTAGATCGAGTTTGCTCTCCGTTGGCTATGAATCAGAAAGTGTATTCTGGGTAGTAAATGGAATATAAACATTGGGTGGAAAAGCAAAATTTTGCAACTTTTTGGGCGTTTATGTTAAATATAACTGTGTAGGGTATGACATACGTGGAGGCTGGAATTAACACACAATCTGTGGGCCCGGTGTCATTTCACGAAATCTGAAGAGTCTAAACTTAAAGAACATATTATCTTTTATTCGTTCTGGTTCCACTCAATGTTTCACCTAATGTTCTAGTCCACTGTTTTGAAAGCCGTTCGTTGACTTCTCCACGTGATCAGGGACCCCCCTCCACGTTCCTCCAACTATCCAGCCTTTCTCCGCCATTTTCCATTTTACATGCGTCACATGAAGGCCGAAGCTATTACAAATCCTTTTTAAATTAAAAAAAAAAAAAAAAAGGTGTATTTAGTCAAGGAGGTAGTCTAATCAAACAGAAATAAATATGTAAAATCTGATTAATAGAAGCTCATTCCAGGATACTGCGGCTTCAGCCACCGACGCCACAAAACTTTATTAAAAATTTATCAATTTCATCCCTATAAATTCAGTTTTTTTCAATTTCATCTCTCGTAAGTCATAAATATAAGTTTTTAAATCATCCTAGTGATTGTCCCAGGTAAATTGGACTGTTTCACCTAATGTTCTGCTTTTAAAAGAAAAATTAATTTATTAGATTGAGAAATAAATTCGTGTAAAGTGGGCCTAATTTACTTTCATTACAAAACTTGTCTTCTTGTCGGGCTTGTTTGTTGGTTTGGATTATCAAGACTAAGTGATGTCATGTTGGTTCCCATAAATTTATCTGTTGTTAATCTAATTTATTTAAAAATAAAATAAATCCAGAATTGTACTATATATTTTTCCTAAATCATCAACTCTTAGTGCTCACCCTAAAGCTTTCTTTTTTCTTTTTTTTGTTTTTTTTATCGAAATGTTTGGATCAGTTTACACGTATCTCAACTAATTTATGTAACTCATTGAATACATTATAAGTTTAATATTTCAAAATAAGTCACAAATATGATAGATGATTTCAAAGTGATTCAAACCCTGAAAGTCAATAAAAGAAACAATTTTTTTTGACCATCACTAACCCCATGATGTTTACGTTAAAAATAATGTCTCATTCAAAAAAAATTCTCATAATCCTGATGTGACAGTTCGTAATTGATCAACTATAATTTATTAGTTGAAACTCAAATGAAATCTATTACGAATTAACCAATTACGAACTATCACGTCAAAATTATACAAGAAAGTATGTGGAAATGTAGCATACCGTTTTCCTTACGTTAAAGCTTTCATTACAACCACAAAATATGTCATAAAATATTAATATAAGGAGGTTGAATCGGTAGAGATTGGTCCTGCATGAAAGTAGACATATTCCTAGTACACGACATCTCTGTATCTAAACGACATCTGTAGCTCGTCTTCAATAAAACTCCACCGTCGATGGCTTACTCCTTCAATTACAATAATCTCAACCTGATGGTACAGGTTACCGGCCAATTAATGAAAGTATTTTAATGCTGGTTGACTAATTCGCTAGTCCCGCCATACTGGATTCTGGTTCGCCGCTGTTACCAGCTAAGTATAATTTAATCCTTTTCACATCATTTTTTTACGGTAAACGATTCCACGAAAAGTCCCTTCTAGCTTCGTTGAGTGGTGATTACTCCTCCTGCTTTGTTAATTAATTTAAATACTTACACGTAAGCAACAAAATTCTAGAAGGCCTACATATTTCAACAAAAAAAAATTATTAATTTTAAAATAATAATTTATATTATACTTGTTCTATAATATTTCATATGTTTTATCATAAGTGATGCATCATCGAATATAATTTGATGGGTAAATAAAGAGTCTTAGGACCACGTAACACGACTTAATTAAAAATTGACACTTCATTTAGAAAGTTCAACTTTTAATTAAGTTTTACCATTTTTATTATTTATATTTGATGAAAGCTTACAGCATTGACAATGATATTGCTAATAATTGAAGTTTTCTATTATTATTAATATCAAATTATATTAGTTTTATTGTGTTAGAATAATTACATTTTAAATATTAAGTGGTCTTTTTATAATCAGGGTAAATTCCTGCTTATTTCGAAATCTTAATGTACCATTTCATAATATTTAGTTCACCTAACACTTAAATAATTCACAAGTGTTATAAGACATGTGATTTGTAATTGAACATGTCTAAATAAACATTTGCTTCACTATTATTTTATAATTATGCATTAAACTAAATAACTCTGATTTTAGGAATGAATATTTAATATTCTAGTTGTTGATAAAATATTAAAAGTATTTGGTAAACCCTTTTTAAAACTGATTAATTTTCAAATTGATTATAAAATAATCATTTAAAAAAAAAGGTTAAAAATTAGGTTGTTCTCGATTTTGTGGATGAACATAACTAAAATACTCATGTAAAATAATTCAAATTAAAAGATGATTTCATACTNCTAATCAATGTGGGACAAACAACCTTTTCTTAGCCTATTACATATAAGTCCCTAAACCTTTCTTCATTATCATTTCTACCCCATGTGCTAAAAGCCATTTTTCAACATATAAGACATGTGATTTGTAATTGAACATGTCTAAAGAAAAATTTGCTTCACTGTTATTTTATAATTATGCATTAAACTAAATAACTCTGATTTTAGGAATGACTATTTAATATTCTAGTTGTTGATAAAATATTAAAAGTATTTGGTAAACCCTTTTTAAAACTGATTAATTGTCAAATTGATTATAAAATAATCATTTAAAAAAAAAGGTTAAAAAAAAGGTTATTCTCGATTTTGTGGATGAACAATAACTAAAAATACCCATGTAAAATAATTCAAATTAAAAGATGATTTCATACTAAAAAAATAAATATATTATATAATTGTTTATAAAATTAACCAAAAAAAAAAATTAATGTTTAATCAGAATATAAGTCAATTAAATGAAACTAAAAGAAAATTGAGGGTAAACCATCACCCCCGAGGCACTATTAGGAGTAATCATTGGGGGTTTTTACTTGGTCAATAGTTTTAGGGCATTGAGAGATTAGTTGAAATATGCGTAAACTGATTGGAACATCTCCGGTGATCAAGAAAAAAAAAAAAATGAGGGTAAAATAATATTTCTGTTACAAAGTTGGGACATGTGTTTTACTTTCGGAAAGTATTGGATGAAAATGTTTTTGTCCCAAACCTTGTGGGTTATGATGTGATTACATGGAGTAGTTGATAGTGGGGCATCAGCCATGGAAGGATCGAATAGTAGTTTTATCTCCAATAATGCCGAATCTTTCGATGGAGTCCACTTTTTAACTCTTGAATAATTTCAATGAGGAAATTGATGACACACTTTCTTCCTTTAACTACCCATTAAGATGGCTTACTTTATTGTTTATGATTGACCCACTAAAACTGTTATATACATCGAAGATAAATTTTATTGTTTAAAATTGCCCACTAATACTATTATATACATAAAAAAATTAGTTTAACCTAATTTTAATTAATATTTGAGTAAACAAATACAAATTAATGTTTACTTATTTTGAATTTTGTCACTACACAAGTCAAAGT